ATTAAAATATTAAAATAAAAATAAAAATCTTTTCACAGCACTGAGAGAAAGAGAGGAATTAATTCTCCCGCATCTTAATTACATAAAAAAATATAAAAAATGTACAATCGTACTTGCGTACATACCAGTGCTGTGAAAAGATTTTTATTTTCTTTGATCTTTCTTTTTAACCAGATCTTCTTTTAACTGTATATTCTCTCATGATGATGTATGTATACTGCCAAAATTATGTCAGCATAGTATGCAGCACACACTTCAGCAAAATCTGACTTTTGCTGGCTTGGCTATCTGGGTATCTTTTCCCCCAATTTTCTTTCTTTAATTTCTCAAGTGATAACTAAATCTTTGATAAGCCGTTAAATTATAAAGATGATTTATAAGCATAAGCTATGAATATATCGTCTGAACTCGTTAGTGTCATCAATTAACATTGGATCGTAAAGCCAAACGACATGTGAAGTGATATTCAATAAAAGGATTCGTGACTATTCAGAGAACGGTGGAATATTTTGATAGGGAAATTGCATAGTAATATGCATACGAATAAAAATATCATATTTTAATAACAAAATATCAAATTTCATTGAATTATTAAACAAAATGACCAAATTTTGTCACACAAAATAATGTTTTTCTCTATGTGAGGATCTGACGACGATTTGACTGGAATTTCATGATAAATCTTTTACAAGGTCCTAATTACTATTCTGCTTAATGTGATTTACTGGAAGTTGATGATTTAGCTTGTACAAACCTGTTAATTGATTGGGATTAACCTTACCAAAGCCATAGGATAAATTTCTATCCGGTTATCTCGAAGGAAGCCAAGCGACACCGACATTCTCAGTTCGATTATTCCGCAATTTAAAGCACACATACACACCTACGTACACGAAAACTGAAAACGTCATGGTGAAAAGCCGAGATCAGACGTCGAAAGTGAAAATCACATTTACGATTGTAACTTAATGTGACGAAAGACGAAATAAAGTTCGCAAAGCGCTTTGACAATTTCGAGTAAATTCGTAGTGAAATGCATGGGGCGCAAAGGAATATTATATTTACACCGCGCTCTTGTGAAGCCTCTTCCCCTCTTTGACTGCGCGAGATATTTGTCCATTATTCCACTTTCTGTGTCCAGTGTCCCGAACACTCCTGTCAAATATTCTAAAACAGTCTCGTCGTCGGCACCGGATAGCTATTTAGCGTAGCGTGAATGCACGGCGCGGATTTATGGCGTAACGTACGTAAGCGGATTTTACGTACGGGTATTAATTACGGCTAATTACCGGAAGGGCGGTCCTAACGACAGCGACAACATGTAAACGCAATTATCGACGAGTGTAATGAATAATGCATAACTAGTTCTATATGTAACGACTAATAAATAATACGAGGGTGGTCTGAAAAGTTTCCGACCTAACAAAGATACAAGTCATTTTTTCTGAAAATTGTTTTTTATTTTTCAACATAGTCTCCTTGTAAATCTACACACTTCTCCCAGCGATGCTCCCATCTCTGTAACCCGTCGAAATAGTACTCGGCGTTTTTCTCTGCAAAATAATTGTTCACGAAGGTGATTGCCTCTTCATTTGACGAAAATCTCTGTCCTCCGAGCGCAATTTTTAGATGAGGGAACAAAAAGAAGTCGCTTGGGGCTAGATCTGGTGAGTAAGGTGGATGGTCAAGCAGTTCAAACCGTAATTCGTGGATT